CCTATACCTATTTCCCTTTCAATCTGGCGAGTACTAACATAAGGATTAAGGTGAACTATTGCTGAAATAGTTACAGCTCGCGCATCATTTTCGTCATATTCATGATGTTGACGTTGACGAACAAGATGTCCATTGCGAGCTCTTTGGACTAAACTACGTATTGTCATATCAGTTGGATGTCGCCTTTCAGGAAAACGTTGAGCGTAAAGCCTTGATGCTGCATTGTAATTGCTATGACACTCCCCTAAAACTAATATAATATCAACAATCTCATTAGGACTATAATCAGCCATTCTGGAAAGGTAACTTGTGAATGTAATTACCTACATACCCTGTATGTATGTTTGTGTTTCGAACGGCCTGAGATGTAGAGCAGCTGGTTCGTAATGCCGTCGAACTTCCGTCGACTGCTATCTTCAATTGCGCGAGTGTGGTGCGTGCTCTCCTATCCAGGAGCCTCGTCAGATGGTGTGAGGAAAGTGCGAGAGTGTTCTTGTGCTTAAGAGCACGGCGTGGCCCAGTGAAGGACACGCGTGGAATTGCCCGGCGCCTCCGCGCTGGGAATGAATCCCCCTTTCGGAGGATGATAGTCACTCAGAGGATAGAGACGCTAGTCCGTCTCCTTTCGTGAGTGTCGGAACCGGTCCGAATGAGATTCGGCTCTGTTTGGCGAGGAAACAACAGAGGCTGAATCCGGTATGATAGTTAGACGAGCTGAAGTCGCCTTTAGCAGTCGCGCACGCGGCACCTGCGATGGTTCGTAGGAATAGCCCGCAAGTGCAACACTGAATCGCGGACGCGGCTGTGTTGAAGCCTGACGGTGACGTGCAGGTCACTGTAAACGTGCGTTAATAGTGCCGTGTGCGTGACGATTGCTAAGTCTCGTCGCGGTGAGAAGCGAAGAGTCCTCGCGTGTTGAGTCGCGGATGCGACGATCGGTTAAGTCGTGAGTAGACTTGTACCGAACCTGGTTTGCGTAAGTGCTGCGGTCCTGGCAGCGTAGCAATAGCGAGCTCGGCTCGCGTGAGCTGCGTCCCTGACCGCGACTAAGTCCGCTTCGGACGTGAAGGCGAGTTTGACTCGCGTGTATAGGCTGCGTCCCTGGCGGCTGCTAAGTCCTAGGCGGACGTAAATGCGAGCGTGGCTCGCGTGTATATGCTGCGTCCCGGGCAGCGGAGCAATAGCGAGCTGGGCTCGCGAGAGAGCTGCGGTCCTGGCCGCAGAGATCTTAAACACAACTACGACTCGCGTGGAGTCGTGAGCTCAATTGTACTAAGTTCTGTTGGCGCTAATACCCAGCATGTAATACGGAAATGCCGCGAAGCGAGACGTCCACCGCGGTGGAGGCGTCCAGGTAATCCGACGAGATCGCGCGAAGCCTTCTCTCAATTCTCGATCGTATTGAGAAGGTGGAGATCTGTGGAGTTACCATACACTGCGTACCACAGGTGCCAATGTGTCCTCGGACACTCTAGAGGCGTTAGCCCAACGTGCAAACGTACTCTAAGGAGCTGCGGAGAGTTGTGTAGAATTGCCGAACTCTAACCACAAATGCCAACGTGTCTACGACACTCTTAAGGCAGTGAAGATCGATGCAGAGATGCAAGTATACCTCTGGTGAGGCAAATGCCCAACGTGCTGGCGCACTCAAGAAGGCAATAGGTAGCTAGATATAGTGCAAAATAATACCTGGTGTGCAGGCAAGCTGGCACCAGGCAAGAGGCATAAAAGCCTTGAGTGGTCTCGCGCGGCGTCTTATATAGGCGCCTAAACGAAACTTAACCGCGAGAAGCGGCTCCGGCCGACGCGCTCGCCGCGTCGCGGCGACGGCGCGCACTGGCGGCGGTAGGCCGGCGACCGCGAGTTGAGCGGCGCCTGGGGCTCGGCCGCCCGCCGTACTCGTTCCGCATGGACATTCTATGCCCGTCCGGAACATCCCGCCCGCCTCCGTCCCTGCGACGGATTCAATTCGGTTGTGCGGTGGTAGTTGCAGCCCCCTCCCAGTCCCTCGACAGGGGTTCTGTCTTCGGGTCGGCCGCCCCTTCGTGGATGTGTACCATACTGCAGGCCGCGGCGGTCGCGGGTTCCCCCTGAGGCCATTGGTCGGGAGGCAAAGCCACCCAGTCCGGCCCGTGCCACCACAATCGGTGGTCCCGCAGTGATCTAGGGGACAGGCCTCTTGATGCGCAATCTGCCGGGTTCTCCTTCGTGGGGACGTGGCCCCAATGAACGGCCGGGAGCAGGTCGTGTATGGCGGCTACCCGGTTCCCCACAAACGTATCCCATCTGGATGGGTGCTGCCGAATCCAGGTCAACGCGACCATCGAGTCGGTCCAGCAGTGCATGACCGTGGAGACGGGTGAGAGCGTCTCTCGCACCCAGCGCATGAGTCGCGCCAGTAGGTGGGCTCCGCAGAGCTCCAGTCGCGGCAGCGATACCCGCTTCACCGGAGACACCTTGCTTTTGGCTGTCAGCAAGCGCGATACCGGTTGGCGTCCTCGGATCCGAACCACCATGTAGATGGCGGCTGCGTAGGCGCGTTCGGAGGCGTCGCAGAACTCGTGGATTTCCGCGACCGCTTCGGCCGTAAAACCCAACCAACGGTGCAGCCGAATGTCGCTCACCTCGTTGAGATCGCGCCGGTAGTGCTGCCACTGGGTCGCCAGCGCCTCAGGCAGCGTTGCATCCCACCCGACGCCCGCCAGCCAGAGTTCCTGCAGCAGGATCTTGCCTGCAATGACAACTGGACTTATCCATCCGAGAGGGTCGAAGATTCTCGCGATGACGGATAGTATGGCGCGCTTGGTCGCCGTCGAGGGCAAGCTCCTGGCGTCGCCGTAGGCAAATGCGTCCTCCCCTGGCACCCAACGGACCCCCAGTACCGAGGTGCTGAGCTCGTCAGGATGGCGAAGGGGCACCAGTGGCAGGCAGCAGTCCGCCGGCACTGTCTTCAGCAGCGCCTGGTTATTGGCCGCCCACTTCTTTAGCGAGAAGCCGCCCGCCTTGAGGAGATCGCCTATCTCCTGCTGTAGGGCGAGTGCCTCTTGTACTGTGTCGGTACCCGCCAATACGTCGTCCACGTAAGTGCACCGTCTCAACAGCTCGGCAGCTCGCGGGAAGCGGTGGCCCTCATCCATTGCCAGCTGCTGTAGAACGCGCAATGCCAGGAACGGCGCGCAGGCCGTGCCGTACGTGACGGTACGCAGCTGATATTCGCGAACTGGCTCCGTGGGCCCGAACCGCCACAGGATCCGTTGGAGCGGTTGGTCCTCTGAGTGGACCTGTATCTGCCGATACATCTGCTCAATGTCCGCGATAAACACGATGGGAGCCAAACGCCATCGCAATAGTATGGCCCCAAGATCGAGCTGCAACCGGGGACCCACACGGACCACCGAGTTCAACGAAGCGCCCGAGGCACAGGTTTGGGACGCGTTGAACACCACGCGTACCTTAAGCGTCGCCCCTGACCTCTTTATCACCGGATGATGTGGCAGGAAGAACACAGGGCGCCCGTCCTGACTGGTCTCCGTGACACGACTCATGTGTCCGAGTCGCTCGTAGTCGCTCATAAACGCGACATACGCCTCGCGGAGTTCCGGCTGGCTCTGGAACCGTCGCTCCAGACGCGTCAGTGAGGCGCGAGCGGCTGGCTTCGAGTCCCCGAGGGCTGAGCCTTGCTGAAACGGAACTCGCACCTGGTATCGTCCATCCGCCAATCGGCCGTGCGTCTCCCTGAAGTGTTGCTCGCACTCTTCCTCCTCCGGCGTGAGCGTGTTGGCTTCGGGCACCTCCTCCACCGCCCAGAATCGTCGTAATTGATCGAGGAGCGGGTCGCACTCCGACTGGAGCGTGTTGCAGCTGGCATGACGAGCAGCTCGCGCCTGTGTTGTGGATCCCATGATCAGCCAGCCGAGACGCGTGGCCTGTGCCATGGGTGCCTGTGGCGGGCCCCGTCGGATCTGCGGCAAGACGATGGCAGCGTACACCTCGGCCCCGAGAACCGCCATTACGGGAGCCACGTTGCGGTAGTCATCCGCCAACGGTAGCCCTGCGAGATGATGCCACTCCTGAGGGATCTCAGTCACGGTGGGCCTATAATCGGTGAGCCTCGGCAGGATCAACGCTTCGATGGGTTGCTGGTACGGATATGATTATTGTATAATATAGTACACCTGGAAATCCTCAAATATCTGTGAACTTCTTATTATGCACAACTAATAAACCATAAAGATATTTATGATTAGATACGATTCTCAGTGGCACGTTAATTGGATACCGCGCCACTTCCTGTCGCGTAGCAAGCGTTTCCGTGTTCTGATGCAGAAGCAATAAGGGGCGCGTTCCGTTATATATTCACAACGCTCGCGAGCGTGTAACGGAACGCGGCCAAGATAAGCGATATATACATAGACATAATAACCCGTATTCTGAGTTTTCTTTTAACGATAAATGAGCCTTTAAAAGAGGCTTAGGAGACAATTGATTGGCTGATAAGCTATATTTAAGGCATTTTTATCGATAAAAGAGGGTTCAGAAATAAGCCAATTTATCTAGGGCGCGTTCTACTTAATGCTCGCATGGTCTCATAGACTACAAGTTTGTTCGCGTTGCATGCCCCAACATGCTCCTACTCGCTCCAACGCACTCTGGCCCACATGGTGACGTTAATCAGAGTGCGTTGGAACGAGTAGGAGCACGTTGGGGCATGCAACGCGAACAAACCTTACGTTTACATGGCAACGTTAATCCGGATCAGTAACAACCGTAGTGACTTCTTCGATTTTATTTGTATATTCTTTTAGATCTAAAAATATACCCCAATTGGATTCGAGAATTTACTAACTACGATAGTTACTAATCAGGATTAACGTTGCTGTGTAAACGTAGTCATAAATAACCTCTCACACACACATACACACACACACATGCGAAAATGAGAAAGAAAACACGACCACAAAACGCAATGCATCCTTTTCATGCGTGCATTTTAAGGCCCATTTTTGAAGGCCGTAACCATTAACTTATGCTATAATCCATAAGAAATTGACCAATTACAGTCGATTATTACAAGAATAGAACTACAATTGGTCCATTTCTTACGGATTACAGCATAAGTTAACGGTAACAGGCTCTATAAATGAGCTTTTACCCTTACTCTTCAAATAAAAATAAATGCTCGCTCTAGATATATTATGTCTATAGGTGTACGTGAGCATCAGTGCTCTTTTTATCTCGTGATCTCTCTGACAATTGCCGCACGATTCGGAAAACAGGCACAATATATTGCACAATTTTCTTTTGACAATACTTCCGGTAATTGTCCACAAGCAGCATATATGTAAACAGTTAACCTACATTAAAAATATAAATATAATTTGCCAACATACAAATCATGTCGTCCATATCAACGTCGTCGTCTAGATAATACAAGTTTCTTTAAATACTAATGCAATTACGTAATTTCAGCAGACAGATAATTAAAAATTAAAACATTGTTCGTGGATCTCGAACATTCTTCTTAATGCTGTCCGCATTGATCATTACCCAGCAAACATAGAACATAACTGTGATATAACATAGGAGTAACATGTAATATAACTGCTGTTATACGTTATTAATATTATTACTTAATTTCCTTTATAACTGCGATATAACTATGTTATAAAACTGTTACATTTTTATGTTATTTACTGGTTAAGTTATACCAACATATAATAGCAACATAACTTTAATATAATGTTATATAAAAATTCTAATGTTTGCATTATATTTCAGTTAAGCAATATTTTTATACACAAATATAAAATTATATTTTCGGTGTTTCGTATATAAAATGTGATATTAAATATATGCAAGGATCGTTATCACGATATTGTAAAACTAGAATTCTTACAAAAAAAATCTAATTATAACTTTACCAAAATATTGTGAGAGAGAAAGAAGGAATATTTTCTCTTTTGCGAGCACGTTGTACGTTAAAATTTGATTACCCCTTATAGAAATATCATACTAAGAATCATTGATAATTACTTATTTTCAGTATTAAAAATACTGGATAATAAGTAATTATCAATGATTCTTAGTATGATATTTCTATAAGGGACTAATACAACATTGTATCAATATTAATCGCATTGTGATTGTTGTTACGTCGTGTCAAACATTTACCAACAAATATATCATAACATTTTTTGAACGATATAAGAGTATGTTCTAAATATCATCTACCAAGTTATTGTTACAACGTATCGGCATCACCAGTTCCCGTACGATCGTTGAAGTTAAGCATTTGAACATGATGTAAAAATGGGTGACCGCCTGACACAGGATCGAAACCACGCGGGTTTCACGAATAAGTGAAATGCCACGAAACATGAAATGCCAGTTTTTTTTTATTATTTAGACAAAATAATCATACATTATCACTTATTTGAACCATACTAATGAATAAATCGTTGGAATTCAACAAAAAAATATATGTGTTAATTCGCTAACGAATAATATATAACTCTTATATAACTTTTTAGTCACATGTTACTTTTATGTTATATTCACGTTATATAACTGTAACGTTGTGAGTAGAAAATTACAACGAACGTCTATATAACCTACTACATACATGTTACATTGCATGTTATATTCCGGCGTTTCATTACGGCAATGTAACTGTTATATATTTGTGTTTGCTGGGTAATGTATTTCCCATATAGCACAAATCTCTAAAATACTTCTTAAAGAGTTCTAAAAGAGTTTCCAAGTCCTCCAGAACACTTTTGGTAGACTCTGCATATGGTACATAATCAACATTATCCACGAATAATGTTTTAACTTTTAATTCGGTCTACTAAAATTATGTTATTGCAAAATCATTATTTAAAGAAACTTGCAATATCTAAGCGACGACGTTGTATCCCTTATAGAAATATCATACTAAGAATCATTGATAATTACTTATTTTCAGTATTAAAAATACTGGATAATATGTAATTATCAATGATTCTTAGTATGATATTTCTATAAGGGATGAACGACATGATTTATATGTCGGCGAATTATATTTATATTTCTAATTTAGGTTAACTGTTTACATGTATATTACTTGTAAACAATTACCGGAAGTACTGTCAAAAGAAAATCGTGTAGTATACTCTGGATGCGTTTAGGGAACACGCTATCAACGCTACCGCGTTCTTCTATCTTTATCGCTCCTTAAATATACAACAAAGATAGAATGACATGGTAACGCTGAATAGCGCTAATAGCGAGCTCTCTGAATGCACCTTTTATAATTCTGTTCCAATAAATTGCTTAAATTTCGGCATTCGCTAAAGATATAAAGTCATTTCAATAGCATTATTTTCACTAAAGTCCGTTGTGCAACACTTTTAAAATAAGTTTCGAAATTCATCTTATGTGCAATAGGAAAAATCGTTTCATACTATTAGGTGCACAACTAAGTTCTCGCTGTTTTTTTTATGAAAATGCAACTTTATTGTGAAGAAATGGTTACAAATGAATCATTCAAAGTATTGCCCATCGCTAGCTACAACTTTTTCCCATCTTTCTGGCAGAGCTCGAATACCGTTACGGTAAAAGCGTTCGTCTTGTGAGGCTATCCACGAATCAAGCCATTTTTTGATGTCTTCATATGAGCGGAACTGCTGATCAGCCAGACCATGTGCCATCGAACGGAACAAGTAATAATCGGGCGCAATATCGGGTGTATATCAGTTGGACACGGGGCAATTGGACGCAGTCCAATCACAAGTCGCTGTTCCTACAAATGTCTCTAATCACACGGTGCTGTGATTGGCTGTGTCTAAATGCATCGTGTCCAAGTGCATCGCTCCCGAAAAAACGACGCTCAACGTCCCTTGGCTTCAAATCATAAGGAACCCAAGTTCCTTGCTTTTTAATCATTCCCAACGCATGCAATCGCTTGGAAATGGCTTGGCGGATAACTCCTAATGCTGAAGCAAGCTGTTCTTGCGTTTGGCACGGATCCTCATCGAGCAATGCCTCCAATTCAGCGTCTTCGAAGGTTTTTGGTCTTCCTTCACGCGGACGGTCGTCAACATTGAAATCACCGTCTTTGAAGTGACGAAACCAATCACGGCATGTTGTTTCTGAAAACTTACTGAAAACTAAATAATATTTTACAAGATATTTTACATTTTGTGTCAAAAAATTGTTAAATTCAAACCTTTATAATTCAAAAAGTACTTAATGAAAAAATGTTTTATTCTAGCGTTTTGGAAAGCTCTCGAGGGAAGCTATAAGAATATGCAATAAAATGTAGGGGGTTCCATTTAAAAAATAAGGTTGCCTTGAAATGACCTTGAAGGACATGGTCAAGGTCATCATCTTACTCCCCGCTTGAAACCATACAACTTTGCTATTGGACATTTTCTCCAAAATGGATTCTAACTGAAGATATTAGGGGGGTCCGATACTTTTCGATGACCCTGTATATTGCATTCTATGTTGTTATTACTTTTGTAACATTATAAATGTTTAAAGAATATTGGCTAAGAATATATCGTCTTAATTGATTTAGATTTATTTCGATATTTCTAAAAACGATCACATTTTATTATTTATTCTTTCAGTGTTTTAGTTATTTCACTTTCTATATTTGTAAAAAATCACACTATAATAAGCAATTTTTTATATTTCCTTAAACTAATGATATATTTATTTCTTGACTTTTATTTTGCGTCATATCGTCTTATATGATACAATTTCAGATAATTTTTTGTACAAGTGCCGTGGCAATATACTTGAAGTATACGAAGATTCTGACTTATATGAATGCCGTACTGCAGAAGCTACAACTTCACAACAAACTTTTTATGAAAGGCATGCAATTGTTTCCACTAAAGGTACTCTTGTTTACAAGCAATTATAATTATCCTTCTGTATAAATATATACATATTAGTTATGAAAACTGTTGCCTAACATAGCATGTAATATTACAAAAATATTGCAATATTACAGAAATATTACGTACTATGTGGGATATATCTTATATCTAAAAGGAAACTGTATTAATTATTAATATTTTTACGCATTTATATTAAATTTACATAAGTTTGTTTAAATAAATAATAAACATATTAAAACAGTATTTTTAAAAATAATTTTAAATCATTTTTAAAAATAATTTTAAATCATTTTCTATATATGTTTTTATATTGTCTAAATAACAATTTCTAAGTAATAATATACTAATTATTGTACGTTTCATGCGGGATTATATACAATAATTATTTTAAATAATTTGCTCATCCTAAATGTACATTTATTCACATTTAAATAGGCTTCCCAGGTAGCAAGGTGACGTCTAAAGATATCATAGACGTCTTAATGACGTCTGAATGACGTCTTTTGATGTCACCTTGCTACCTGGGTTCCTATCTCAGAAGAAAACAACTTCAGCATAACGAAATAAAAATTTGTGATCAAATACATCTGATCATCGGTCTATCAAAGTAAATTTATCATGGTCGACACTTTTTTATTGACATTAAAAGTACAAGTGTAAATTACACAAGAGAGGGAAATTATACAAATTGCAATCTTGTATAATTTATTCTGTTGCCTCAGTATAAAGGAACAATAAATTATTTACATTTTTTCTAATATAGTTGAAATAC